CTCGGACTCCTCCAGAGTCCGCTCCGGGTCCAGTCATTGGCCCGTAGTCCCCACCATCTCGCCGAGCCTGTGCTGCTTCCACCAGATGATGCCTCGACTGTTGCCTAGTTCGAGGTCCGCAGCCTGCGCGCCTAGGTTGTCGGTCAGCTCCTTCTTCGCATGCGAAACCAACATTGACAGCCGAATTTCCTCCGAGGGCCTCCACAGAAAACCAAACGCGTCGACCAAAGCGCTTCCCTTTCATCAAACGCACCCCGGCCCCCATACGCCCCGAACCCGTAAAGCGGACCTGCAGGAAACTGGCTCGTTTGAGCGGGACGAACACCCCATCCTCTGCTTTGTCGGGATTTGCGTCGGTGAACGCACGAGCTTCGTTCAGGATGGTGTCGCGGGGTGTCCCGATCCCAGTCGCCAATAATCACACAGATCTTGTCGCACGCCCTCTTTGGCCCCGACACGGACGGCTGCGCCGCCGTGCCCTCGACCCAGGGGAACCGCAGCCGCTGCCGACCGAGGCAGCTCCCGTGGATGAGGGAGCTGCCGAACGTTCCTCTCGCAAGTCCTTGATATCCTGCTCCATGTTGTTGAAGCGCCCCTGGTGCCTCTCGACGTCCCTGCGCACATTGCCGATGGACGTCTTCACGTCCGCGGAATATTTCGCCATCGGGAGCGCAGCATCTCTCTGAAGTGCATCATCATCGTGCGTCCGTCCATGGTTGCTGTCGCGCGAGCGGCTGCGCGAGCCCATCGGCTGCTTGCACGATGAGGCAGAGTCGCGAAACAGATGGCAGCTGCGAGCCCCAGCCCATGCCGCCGCTGGAGCCAAAATGGATGTTGGTGGTGATGAGGAGGATGAGGAGGAGGACGAGAATGATGAGGATGAGTGGACGAGGGAGGGGGCAGCGGGAGGAGGAGGAGTGAACGCGGGGACCGTCTCTTCAAAACGAGGACCCAACACCACAGGATGGTTAGGAATCACAGAATTGTGCCTCTGGGGGCCTTCTGGGGAGGCCTCTTGGAGGATGCTTGGGGCGTCTTGCAAGCTTCTTGCGCCGTCTGGAGGCCATCTTGGGGTCTTGGACTGGTCGTTCGGTGCCTCGGAACCCTCTTGGACCGTCTTGGGGGCCAGTGGCAGGCGCACCCCCTGGACCCCTCTGGTCCTGCGGTATCCCCCCCGTGCCCGCCCCCCGCAGGACACTGGGGCGGCGCCTTCTCGAAGGGGTCGGCCGCGACGCGCTCGGCCACCAGCGAGAGGAGCTGCGGCGCGGCGGGGTGGGGGGTGAGGGTAAACATGCTCGCGCCGAGCAGGCTGGAGGGGACGAGGAGGAGGAGGAGGAGGAGGAGGAGGAGGGGGAGGAGGAGGAGGAGGAGGAGGACGGAGGAGGAGGAGGAGGAGGAAGAGGAGGAGGAGGAGGAGGAGGAGGAGGAGGCGGAGGAGGAGGAGGGGGGGAGAACAGGGCACGGCAGGAGGTTCAACGGCCACGGCAGCCCTGAGCACCAGAGGGCATCCCGCGCCACCTCACCGCCCGTTCAGCCGCCTGCACCTCCTTCCTCAAACATACACACACACACACACGTGGCCACCCTGCGGGGGGAGGGGACCCCTGGGCACCGGCCCCACGGGGCCAGGGGATCGTCCCCACTCTTTCCCTTTGTTCCAGATGTTCTAATAAGGTATGATGGTCTCTCCTTCTTCCTCCTCCTCCCGTCTGTCTGCGGGACCTGGTCCCCTCATCTTCGTCTCCTTGTTGCACTACTCCCCCGGGGAGGCCCGACCGGGCCGCCCTGGAGGAAGCGGCAACGTCTTGAAGCCTTCCACGCCGTGGGGAACGGAGGAACCGAGGAGGAGAGGGAGGAGGATGAGGAGGGGAGGGAGAAGGAGTAGGAGGAGGAGGCGGAGGAGGCGGAGAAGGAGGAAGAGGAAGAGGAGGAGGAGGAGGAGGAGGATGAGGAGGAGGAGGAGGAGGAGGAGGAGGAGGAGGAGGAGGTCGCGAGCTCGGAGCGCGAATGCTTGGGGGCTGAGGCTGCGGCTGGGCTCCGTGCTCCGCTTCCCTGCGGGCGCAGCAGGCAAGAGCGGGCGCCACAGGGGGCGTGCGGCAGCCGCCTTGCTGCCCGTGCTCCGGGCGCGGTCGGCCAGGAACTGCGCGAGGCTGTCCTGTGCACGGGCGGCGGCAGACACTCGGCGGCCCTCCTCTCGAGGTCAAACATTCCACCCCCATAGTAACCAACCCGACGCGAGAAGTCGTTTAGCAAACGCGTCCAAAGAAGGAATCGAACAGGGTAGGGCTGTTTAGTAACGCCCAGGGCCGTTTGGCAAACGCCCATTGTCTGGTCCGGGTGGTTGTTCCTCCCTTGATCCTTGGCAGCGCGCAGACGGGGGAAGGGGGAAGGGGGAAGGCTTCTTAGGAGGAGGCTGTTTCTTAGAAGGCGCGGGCCTTACATCTGCAGACAAGGCCCCCGCCTTCTAAGGAGCAGCCTCCGCCTGAGAAGCCTTCCACCCTCCCCCTCCCCCCCACTGCGCGTGGTGGCCCGCCCCTCCGTACAGTCGGACCCGGGCCAGAAGAACATCTCCCAAGAACATGGGACCCCCCGCCGGCCAAAACACACAGAACATCCAAGGGTACCCTCCTCCAGGACGCACAATAACACCCAACAAGCACGAAGACTATTAGGATGCCCTCCCCGAAACGGCCCTCGGTCTTATACCTCGGTCCGACTGTATTCCCTGCTCCCGTGTTCCCACCATCCTGCGCGAGCCCGTCTCATACTTCTTGCATGTCCTCCATCATCCCTCCTCCTGTCTCTTATCCTGTTTCTCCTCCTGTTTCTCCTCCTCCTCCTCTTCCTGCGCTTGCTCGTCCTCCTCCTCGGCCCCCTTTCCTCCTCTTAGTCCTCCTTCCTCGTCGTACTTACTTGATACGAACACGTCTCCCCTCTCCCACCAAAATGCACCAGCGCGTGATCGCCGCGGTCGCGTAGTGATGTCGCACACTCAGGATATCGCATGTATGGCGTTAATATGTGTTAGTTCCTGCTCCCATCCCTGCTTTTTCAATGGCAGGGCCCAAACGTTCTGAGGCCGCTGTGTTCTGTCCGATCGGGGCGTCGTCAGCCATTCGAGCATGTGCTCCCGTTGCAGCGTTGGCCATATTTCTGAATCGGTGCTGTGCTCCTGGCGTTCAGTGGCGATCACGCAGCAGCGTGGTGCACACTTCTGGATCGTATTCCTTCTTTGTTGTTTCTCTGCGTTCCCCTGATCCTTCTGCTCCTCCTGCTTCTCTTCCGACCCCATCCACCTCTATCCGCCGCATACTCCTCCTCCAATGTACAAGCCCTGCTTCCCAAGATTGCACATTGAACGATGGGTCAAATCCTGCCACCGCCACTCGGGGATCCGTGCCACCCAGGACACCCCAGCCAGCGGATTGACAAGGATTCACGCAACAGAAAAGGGTGCCAGCTGTGGAGCAATCGTGTCTCTCTTGCCTCGCCCGCAACTTCCCCAGTCGTCCCTCCTCCCGTCGGCCTGGAGGGGAACGCGAGGACGCAAGCGAAGGCTCCCAGTACTTTGGGGGCGAGCGCCGAGAACGTCACGGAGGGCGCTCGACGACCCGCCGCGGTCTCTCTGGCTCGGTGCCGAGTCTCGGCGCCGACTCGAAGGACGTGGATGGGGACGAGGACGAGGAGGGACGCATGGCGAGGCGGCCGGCGGCGGAGGATGCGGAAGACAGGGGGGCGAGGAAGGGAGCAGAACGCGGACCTCTGCTGGCCTCCCACTCCCCTCCCCCTCCCCACCACTCCCCTCCTCCACTCTCTCTGCTCCCTCCCACATCCACTCATGCCCTCACCCCTTTCACCCCCCCCCTCAGGAGGAGGACGAGGAGGAGGACGTGGAGAAGAAGCAGGACGGCGATGAGGACGATGCAGATAATCGTCGCAGTCGTCGTCACCGCCGACGGCGATGACGGCGACGTCGCTGTCGCCCTCGGGCTCGCCAACCTTCTCCGATGCCTCCTCCTCCTCCTCCTCCTCCAATTCCTTCTCTTCCTCAACCTCCTCCTCCTCCTCCTCCTCCTCCTCGACTGCGTCGCCGTCGACGGCGTTATCGCCGCCGCCGTCGACGCCGCTGTCCGGGTCCTCCATGCCTCCGTCGTCTTGGGTGCGCCGAGGGGGAGAGGCGGGGCTGGACGAGGGGGCCTGGCGCGCCATGGCCCGAGGCTATGTGGGCGGACAAGGGAGGGGCCCCAGCGAACGTGCCGAGAGAAGGAGAAGGCCATGACGTCTGGGGCATATCACGGCCCCGGCCTCGACATCCCTCCCAGTCCTCACCCCACTCACCCTTGGCAAGATCACTCACGCGTCTGCGCTTCCATCAAGCGCTCCAACGGACAACGCAAAGGCTGGACCAAGCCCGCGACCGGCACGGATCGCAACAAGAAGCGCGCTGCGTGGAGCACGCATGAAGCTCGAACGAGCACCAGCGCCTCAATGCGGCGCGCGCTGTAAGCCAGAGGTGATGAGTATCGTGTAACCGATCCCCATCCCCAGCGGCGTGGCCTGGGCCCCACTGACCGATTCACCCCCCTAGATGGGGACAGGCCGTTCCCTTCGGGTTTCGAGGGGTGTATCCCCAACTGGGTTGGTAATTTGGTGGGGGTCTCGAAGGGGATGGGGATGGGGATTGGGATGGGGATTGGTTAAACGATACCGAGGTGATATGACAGAGTCTGCCAAAAGTCTGCCCAAACCTCACCCCGCTCGCTCTTCCACGCCTGGTGTTGTGCGGGCCAAACGTCGGCCACCTGGCGGCCATCCGAAGACGACCTGGGCACCTCCGGAACGCCCTCGACGAGCCGCAGCTGCTGGACAACCTCCCGAAGCAAGAGAGCCTCCAACAGCCATCGATCTGACTCCAGCGATCGTCGGAGCCACCGCTGTTCGGTGATCCTCAGAACGCGTGCTAACACCAACGTGCGCTTGTCCACCGAAGCCCTTCAAGACGACGCAGGCAGCGCAACCAGGGCCGACACATGCTCAGCGCTATCGGAGGAGCCGAACGAACCAAACACACGCTTCGGCTAGCACGATGGCAGCCGCGGGATCGTCGTCGTCGCCGTCGTCGTCGCCGTTGCCGTCGCCGTCTCCGTCGCCGTCGCCGTCGCCGCCGCCGCCGCCACCGCCGTCGCCGTCGTCGTCGTCGTCGTCGTCGTCGTCGTCGTCGTCGTCGTCGTCGTCGTCGTCGTCGTCGTGGACATCGCCGCCGCCGCACGGGGCAGCCGCAGGGGCCGGCCGCGCCTGCAGCGGCGTGCCGCGCCGCCCGCCCTGCAGCTGCGCCAGAGCCGCGCGCGGGGTCTGCAGCAGCGCGGCGGCGGAGACCGCACCGAAGTGCTTCTCGCCTGAGGTGCCCCGCGCGGGGTGTTTCGGCGGGCCGCGCGTGCGGCGAGGCATCTCACCCCCATTCGTCGGGGCGGGGTGGAGGGCAGCCTGCCAACCCCCCCCCGCCCATGACACGCCCTCCCTCCCTCCTCCCCCAACTGTTCCTCCCCCTCCTCCTCGTCCTCCTCCGCCTCCTCCTTCTTCTCCTCCTCCTCCTCTTCCCCTTTTTTCTCCTCCTCCTCCTCCTCCTCCTCTCATCTTCACTCTCTCTCTTCTACTGCTCCTCCCCTCCTCTTCCTCCTCCTCCCTCCTCCTTCTTCCTCCTCCTCCTCCTCCTCCTCCTCTTCCCCCTTTTTTCTCCTCCTCCTCCTTCTCCTCCTTCTCTCCTTCTCATCATCCTCCTCCTTCCTCCTCTCCTTCTCCTTCTTGCTCCTCCCCCTTCCTCTTTCTCTTCCTCCTCCTCCTGCTCCTCCTCCTCCTCTCCCTCCTCCCTCCCTCCTCCCTCCTCCCTCCTCCCTCCTCCTCCTCCTCCTCCTCCTCCTCCTCCTCCTCCCTCCTCCCCTCCCTCCTCCTCCCTCCTCCCTCCCTCCTTCCTCCTCCTTGTCCTCCTTCCTCCTTCTCCTCCTCCTCCTGCGCCTCCTCCTCCTCCTTCTCCTCCTCCTCCTCCTCCCACTCGTGTTCCTCGTCTTCCTTCCTCCTGAATTCCTTCTCCTTGTAAAAGATTGTCCTTGTCGCACCCCAAAGGCGGTCGGAATGGCGGGCCAAGCGTTTCGCCTGAGCCTTCCTATCACCTATGGCCCTGGAGCTCAAGAGCGGCAGCAGTTTCACACATGGAGGGCGGGCTGTTTCCAAAGTGTGGCTCTTGCCACGGCGCCGCGCATTCGTACAAGAGCTTCACATGTTGATGGCGGGCCGTTTTCAACGTGTAACTCTCGCCTTGGCGCCGCGCGCGCTCGCTTCAAAATTCATTTGGAAAACCAGTTTCACAGAATGAGGGCGGGCCGGTTTTCAAAATGTGGCTCCTGTCGTATCGTCGCAACCATATGTCTCAAACCGGTGCAATAACTTATCAGATCGGGGGCGGCTCCTATTTTACAATGTGGCTCTAGCCGTAGTGTTGCGCACTCGTGTTAACACATGTGCAACAGTTCCACCGAGTCCCACGGTCAACGTACAGGAAATGATTGCTGGAACGTTACAGGACTGCCAGGGCGAAGCAGCCACGATGATTCGCGATGTCGAAGTCCCAGGATTGGTGTTCTGGCACAGTTCTGGATCGCCAAGACGCAACAGTCAGGCTGATTCGTGGCGCTGGAGTCCCGAGCATGTTTTGTTCGCACGCTTCAGGATCTTCAAACTCCAGCGGGGCTCTCTCCTCAGTGGAAATGAACCTTTGTAGACGCTTATGAAGAAACTTGGCAGGGAAGGTTTGGGGAAGTCAATAGGTACCGATACCGCTACTCTCCGAACCTCTCCCGGGGTGCGTTCTGACCAGGATTTCGAGGCGAACCCAGCGGTGGCGACGAGGGCCGCCCAGGAGGCCCAAAATGACGAACACCAGGGAAGGGTAAATGTATGGGTACCTCTTCCTCCTCCGAGGGCTATTCCAACTTAGTCAATGACTCCTGGTTTAAGACTGGCCCTCCTCCTCCCCTGCCCCCTCCTCGGCCGCGCGCCAGGGGGCGAATGGTGAGACGGGCCGGGCCTTCTCAAATGAACGGGCCCTGGGACGCACACATAAATCCGCCGACCCTGTGTCGGCGTGTGCGAAGGGGCTCGTCCGCCCCCCTCGTTCGTTCGCCGTCGTCTCCGTCGTCTCCTGTCCATGCGCCCACCCGTTCCCTGGGCCAATCGTCTCCTGTCCCTGCGTTCCCCCTTTCCCTGGGCCCGTCTCCCCTCCTCCCCTTCCCCCCTCTTCCCTGGGCCCGCCGCCGCTCCCCCCTCGCTTTTCCAGGGCCTCCCCCTCAAGAGCAACGTTGTCATTGAGTCGAAGGGGAGCCCCTTCCCTTTGATCCCTCCCCTGCCAGGGGGGCGGGGTCCCGGAGGGGGTCCCGGGGAGTCCCGGGGGGGGTCCCGGGGGTCCCGGGGGGGAACCAGGGGGGGGGGCCCGCTTCAGATGCGACTCCCCCCCTGGGGTTCCTGGGGCCCACACAAAACCTCAGACGGGCCAAGAGCCGAGGCATTCTACCACGCCCTCTCCTACCTCCCCCCTCCTCCCTCCATACTCATCCCTCCTCTTTCCTCCGTCCCCCTCCAGAACCGAACCGGCCTCCTGGACGCTCGGCCACGGGACACCCCAGGACCCAGAATTCCGAGGTCCCCAGGACCCTCCAGGACCCAGCCCCGAGGACCTCCTCCCAGGACCCAGCACCAGGAACCAGCCCCCCCAAAAGTCCAGGACTCCCAGGCCCCAGGACCCTATCCTCATCATCCCCTGTGTCTGTACTCTACACTTTCAGCCCCCTCCTTCCTCCCCTTCTCCTCCACCTCCTCCTCCTCCCCCTCCTCAACCTCTTGCTCCGCCCTCCTCCTCCCTCCCTTCCCCTAGTGTTTCCTACCTTCTCCTCCTCCTCCTCCTCCTCCTTCTATCCTCCTCCTCTCCTCCTTCCTTCCTCCTTCCTGTCTTCACCTCCTCTCTCCCCTCATTACGTCATTACCATCATCCTCACCTTCCTCTACTCCTCCTCCCCCTCCTCCTCCTATCCTCCTCCTTTTCCCGCCTCCTATTACTCCTCTTCGACTTCTCCTGCCGCGGTTTAATCCACCCCACCCTCCGCGATCCTCTTTTCGTCACCTCACCGTCACTCACCGTCAACGTACCGACATCAGTTCGTCGTTCATCATTCGCCCACCTCCTCGTTATTGTTATCCCCCCTCCTCCTCCTCATGCTCGCCACGCTGTACCCCCCTGCCTCTCTCCCGTGTTAGCCCTCCCACTCCTGCACCATGCGGCCCTGCTCGCCTCGTCCTGCTCCTATTCGTTTCCCCCCTCTCCTCCTCTCCTCCTCCTCCTTCTCCCTCCTCCTCCTCCTCCATCCCTCCTCCTCCTCATCTCCTCTTTCCCACCTCCTCCTCCTCCTCTTATCTTCATCCTGTTCCCTCCTCCTCCTCCTTCATCCTATCTTCCTCCTTCATCCTCCTCCTCCTCGCCTCCTCCTCATCCACCACCACCACCACCCCACCACCACCACCACCACCACTCACCACCCACCACACCACCACCACCACAATCTATCATCAATCATCATCATCATCTCATCTCATCTTCATCATATCCTCATCATAATCATCATCATCATCATCTTCATCATCGGCATCTTCTTCAATCATCATCACCACCACCACCCTACACATCATCATCATCATCAATCATACTCATCGTCAGCATCATCTCATCATCTTCTCATCTTTTCATCATCATCATCATCATCATCATCTCATCATCATCATCATCATCATCATTCATATCATCATCATCATCATCATCATCATCATCATCATCATCATCATCATCATCATCATCATCATCATCATCATCATCATCATCATCATCATCATCATCATCATCATCATCATCATCATCATCATCCCTCCTCCTCCTCCTCCTCCTCCTCCTCCTCCTCCTCCTCCTCCTCCTCCTCCCCTCTCCTGCTCCCTGACGTCCTCCGCCTCCTGCTCCCTGACGTTCTTGTCCTGCTCGTCGTCTCCGTCTGCAGGGTCGGCGGCACCGGCCGCAAGGCCTTCGCATAGACACAAATAACAGGATGCCCCAGATTTTTCCATTATCATTGTCTTGGTTTTCGTCTTCCCCCCCCCACACACTTCCCATATTTTCCCAGATTTCCGTTGGGTCGATGATGAATTGTATCTGTGTGTTTTTCCCCTCCTGATCAAAGGCGGGCGTTCCTCAGACTCAGAAGTCCTCTGACCCTTCTGGGAAACCGCCTGCGTCTTCGGAGAAGGCTTAGCACACTTTTCAAAACGCCACGAGGCCTTCCGAGCCTTCAGAGAAGACACGCCCTCCTCTGCCATGCCCCTGTGTTCGCCGCCGGCCTCCCATCCTCCCGCAGTGCTGCAACAGCAACCCTTAAGTCGGGCTTGTCCCTCTACAGGGGGAATGTAAGATTCAAAAATAGCCAAAAATAATATGGGGACTATTTTTGTATATTTTTGACAAGTTGGAAGTTTGTTTTGAGAATTCTTTCTTTCTCGTCGAAAATCCCCCTGTAGGAGGGCAGGCCCGACCTAAAGCAACCCCAGACTCCCCAGGCGAACGCTGCGCGGCCCGAGGACACGCGCCACCCGCTGAGCCAACAATCCTGCCTCCTCCTGCTCCTCCTCCTCCTCCTCCTCCTCCTCCCTCCTCCTCCTCCTCCTCCTCCTCCTCCTCCTCCTCCTCCTCCTCCTCCTCCTCCTCCTCATTCCTCCTCCTCCTCATCATTCCTCCTCCTCCTCCTCATTCCTCCTCCTCCTCCTCCACCACTGCCGGTGGATCTCGCATTTGCTGGTCTCCCAGTTTGTCGCAACTGCCCGGCTCTTCCCACACGCCCAACCACGCCTCCTCAGGCGCACGGTGGATGACATCCGGCAGCGCCAGACCACATCTTGACGTGGATCTTGTGGCCCTTGAGCTGTCTCTCCCAAGGTGGCTATGGCTTCCCTGGCCTCCGCCTCTGTGGAAAAGCGATCGTGCCCGTATCCCGGTCTCCAACAGACGGCCCCGTCCTGTGTGACTGCAGAATTCCACGGTGCCCCCCTGTTGCATGTGGTCCCCAAGCTCGCGCCAGTCGACGGGGTATTCGAAGTCCCGCACGTAGACGATGTTCTCCCCACCCACTGGTCGCCCCACTGCCCCCTGCCATTGGCGGCCTTTTGCCCCCCCCACCGCACCGAGCCTGTATCTCCTGCTGGTTCTTTTCGCGCGCGCTGGCCCACGGAGGTAGCTTACGAAGTCTGGTCTCCAATTTCTCCTCTGTCTGTAGCCACTGCCGGCTCTTGTCGGAGCTTGTCTGCCAACAGG